GCCATGGACACATGCAAGATGGGTGTTCCCAATCAAATTATAAAGAAGCTGTGGTTTAAATTTTACTGATCAAACACAGTTTTGGGAAAGGATGAGATGTGATTATGGCATAATTGTTTTAAAAGCACTGCTGTTCTTAAAATATAGCTTCAAAATTTCAGTGGGAACTGTTTGTGAGCCTGGAATACCAAACACTAGTCTGGAGTGTTTGTTACATGGCTATTCAGGTTGCTCTGCAATCAGAGTTGCAGTAAGTATTGAGGTTCTGGAAGCTGTGTAACTATCTTTGCGTATTTACACACAAACATAGCTTGATAATATGACACAGTTAAGCCAGAATGTTTTAAACCAATTACTTCAGTGGAACTAAACTGGCATAAATCCAAATACTCCCACATACTTGGCTTGTGGTTTGAGTGGACAGGTTCCAGTTTTACAGTTACATGACGCTATTTCTGCAGCTGATGGACACATTGCACTTCGGCAATACAAGCAGTTCTTGGAATATCTAAATACATTTGCACCTACTTGTTTTTCAAGCAGATTTTTACAACTGTGAGACCAAGAGACAAATCTCACGTACATGGCCAAAACCCTCATTCATTTCAGTGATTCCTGCTTCCCTGTCAGAATGGTTAGGATTGCATTCATGGATGGGGTGTGTGGGGGGAATAATACTGAAACAAAGTGTGTGTGCGTGTGTGTACACACAGATTACTATATGCAAATAATATATTGACAACATTTTTTCGCACAGTAGATTTGCAGTCTTAGGGGATTTTTCCCAAAAGGCAACAGAAAATGTGGGATCCAATAAGTAGTTCTTGGTTGCACAGAAGCAGTAGGCCTTGCCTTATTTGAAACTGTAAAGTAAACCTAGTTGTAAACCTTAAAATTTTTATATTGTTTCATTTCCTTGCTTTTGGCAATACATTTTAATCAGGAACAAACAAAATTCAATTCAGGCAGCTGTGTATATGCCAACACCATAAATTACCATTACATTAGTAGGAAAGTTTTTTTAAACCATCTTTTATGCTGTTGGTACATCAGATTACAAATGAAATGTAAGTCTGTAACATAGTTTTATTTAGTTGGTAGAGAATAATAGGTTTCTCTTCCTGATTCTTGGGTGTAGACTTGGAATCATTCAGAAAATGTCACATCTAGGCCACACAAAATCCTGAGTCACCCTCATTTGCTTGCCTTTGTTCAAGAAGTGCCGATCAAGAGGACACGCCTTTCCTCTGTCATAGACCAAGGTCATGCTGTGCTTACAGATGAATGGAGTACATATTTGCCCATTTCATCATTTCAGACTCTGGAGCTGGGGTGCTTGGATTATTAACTCATCCAGTGCCTTTGGCTAAACTGTAATACTCAGGCATTTTTT